CATGCAAATAAACAACAACATAGCCGGATTATAACTCATGACCAAGTTTTTGTTTATGTGCGATATGTATCCACAATATAAACACAAACACCAAAACCATGGCATCAAATGAAAGCTAACAACCAGCTGAATCCAGCCATATGCAACTCATTTACATTGCATGAAGTATTTCAGAGCAGGGAGCGAAAGTTCCACGAAAAAACGCCAGCGAAAACCAAGCAAGCATGTAAATCTTGTCTTACCTTTGCCGTTTTTTCAACAAAAAGTTATTTCCATAGCGATAAAAGTCCGTTTGTTGTTATGTCCGGTCGATAGCTTCGTGGAAACTCTATTTTAGATTTTTTGTGTTGCTCCTTGGTCTCATGACATCACCAAATATGGAAAGACTCCCCGTGCGTAAGAGGTGGTCTCTCCACGCTGCGCGTCGTGTGATTCGTCGGTGATCCCGTCAGTCTCAAAATGGTTGAGCTCATTGGCTTCTTCAGATTCAGAGCTTTCCAGCGATATATAGAGCTCCCGGATTGGACAGATGGTCGGGGGGTAGGGACACGCAGAAGCTCAACGTCGAAAGCGTTTGTGAATGAAAGGTTCCCAAAAGCGCAGCAAGATGGGGTAAATGAGCTTCCACACCCCTTTTACAGCGTTTCTTTAGGAGTTTTTTTTGCTGAAATCATGTCCCGTAAGCAAGAAAAGAAGACTGTGAACGTAGCTGAAGCTTTGGACAAGATTTTTTCCATATTTCAATTATTGTGCCAAACTGTGCCAACATGGATTACGCCTGAACTTTGTTCTATCAAAACCTGTACAGAATATTAGTTTCTTGTAGTATGGACACCAAACTTGCTACAGATGTCCTTGACATGTAGTGGTTACAATTGATTGTGTTTATTTGCTTCGTTATAAGTAAAATAAGGAGATATTGGAGGAAACATGTGTTTTTTTTTAGGCGGAGTTCATTTTTCGGCCATTCCAACATCAATTACTCTTACCCAGTGTTCTTGACTGTCAAATTAACTCATCCACACCACTCCCCAAGAACCTATCATCATTTTGATACCAAGATTTGCAGTTTAGGCCTTGTAAAAGCTGAGAAATGCCTTAAAAAGTAAAAGTATAGGATTTTCGGAAAATAGGCCTCAGGGCTTAAGAGGTTAAAGGGGGGCTCGACTAAAAAAGTTTGAGAAATACTGTATTATTACTAATGTGGGGGCAATCTTACTAGATATTATTAGTAATGTGGTGACAATGTTACTGGCTATTATTAGTAATGTGGTGACAATGTTACTGGCTATTATTAGTAATGTGGTGACAATGTTACTAGCTATTATTAGTAATGTGGTGACAATGTTACTGGCTATTATTAGTAATGTAGTGACAATGCTACTGGCTATTATTAGTAATGTGGTGACAATGTTACTGGCTATTATTAGTAATGTAGTGACAATGTCACTAGCTATTATTAGTAATGTAGTGACAATGTTACTGGCTATTATTAGTAATGTAGTGACAATGTTACCAGCCATTATTAGTAATGTAGTGACAATGTTACTGGCTATTATTAGTAATGTGGTGACAATGTTACTGGCTATTATTAGTAATGTAGTGACAATGTTACTGGCTATTATTAGTAATGTAGTGACAATGTTTCTAGCTATTATTAGTAATGTAGTGACAATCTTACTGGCTATTATTAGTAATGTAGTGACAATGTTACTAGCTATTATTAGTAATGTAGTGACAATGTTACTGGCTATTATTAGTAATGTAGTGACAATGTTACTGGCTATTATTAGTAATGTAGTGACAATGTTACTAGTTATTATTTGTAATGTAGTGACAATTGTGGGAAATTTAATTAACTTCCTATGCTTGTAAAGTTATATTTCACTATAATGAGAATGAATGGTTTTATTATACATGGCCTCGGAAAAGGGAAAGAGGACTGCTTTGACTCCCCTTTTCTTCCCAAGCAGGAAGAGATAAGGATACTCTTCCAGAATATAACAGTTTTGTTTCAAAGGAAACGCGTAAGGGGGCGGAGAGTGAAACTGAAATGTGATATTTGAGCTGAGAACGACAGAGAAAATTCAGAAATCATCCTGGGAAGAGACTGGGAAGTTTTCTCAGGTGCACCGTATTGTTCTCCTCTTGTAATAATACTTATTAAATCTACCTTTTTATTAATACACGTTCTCCTAAAATCATTTTGAACACGCATTGGACCCTCAAAAGTCCAACACAATGTTACTAGCTATTATTAGTAATGTGGTGACAATGTTACTAGCTATTATTAGTAATGTAGTAACAATGTTACTAGCTATTATTAGTGATGTGGTGACAATGTTACTGGCTATTATTAGTAATGTAGTGACAATGTTACTGGCTATTATTAGTAATGTAGTGACAATGTTACTAGCTGTTACTAGTAATGTAGTGACAATGTTACTGGCTATTATTAGTAATGTAGTGACAATGTTACTAGATATTATTAGTAATGTAGTGACAATGTTACTGGCTATTATTAGTAATGTAGTGACAATGTTACTGGCTATTATTAGTAATGTAGTGACAATGTTACTGGCTATTATTAGTAATGTAGTGACAATGTTACTAGCTATTATTAGTAATGTAGTGACAATGTTACTGGCTATTACGGTATTACTAATGTGGGGGCAATGTTGCACTGGAACAGTGATGGTGATAACGAATGGTGGACTTTAGAGTGATGAGTGGGGGCAAAGAAAAACATTACAGCCTTTTTTTTGTTACTTTTACTGTTTACTGTCTGTTCATGTTACATGTTTGGCTGTTAACTTCTACACAGTTTATATAAAATATTTTACAAAAGTATTTGGTTCAGAATCTTTTTTTTTCTAGATCTTCCTCTTTTAAAACTGGGTGCGTCTTATGTGCCTGTGCGTCTTATGAGCCGAAAAATACGGTAAGTGTTTTTTTCTTAACAAAACACCACAGAAGTAAAATACAGAGCAGTTTAATGTGAGAAATGGCACTGTCTGTCTTCAATCAGCTGCCGAAACCGTGGCACAAAAGGTGTGGTTGCTAGACGGAGACACTGGCCTAAATGTTCATTAGTCAAGCTGCTGCGGTGTGAGTTCTTTACAGCATTCATTGCTGAGAATGCAGACTCACACCGATAGGTTGATCCAAACATGGTAAGAACACAGATGGCTACTTTCTGTAGATTGAGGAAATTTTCAGCTGTGACCCTTTTAGTCCAAAAGGTAACAGTGTCACAGTCCACTTCCTGCAAAGCCACATTTTCCTGCAAGTCAATAAGTTCAGTCTGCAGAGATGCCATGTTTGCCCATGGGAAGATGCTCCTGATTTCTTTTGAAAATTCCTCAACATTCTTGACGAGGAATGGAGATGGAATGCAGAGCAGCACTTGTCTGCCTAAATTGAAGCCCTCAAAGCGCATCGTAAAATTTTCGGCTAGCTTCTCCAAAAAGGAAAGATGGTGATGATGATGATTGCCATTAGTCTGCTGAAGAAGAGTTGGAAAGTGAATATGTGGCCCTCTGATGTCACTCTTAAACATCTCCAGGCGCCTTTCAAAGGAGCGTACTGCTGCCATCAGATCACACACTGTGTTACCTTGGCCCTGGAGCTTCAGATTTAGTTCATTTAGATGAGATGTTATGAGCGCTAAAACGTTTTTTTGTTCCGCCAAAGCACTATTTGATCAGTACGGCGGCAGGCATTATGCTTTTTATAAACGCACAACTCATGCGCATGAAAACCACACATGAACAGGAGACGTGCAACGCGCTCGTGCCCGCACTGTTTGCCCTTGAAGATGCATTGCGAGTGCACAAGTGCGCATAAGAATACTCGCGAGAAAAAAATCTCATGAGTGAGCACATAGTTTGCTTGAACAAATGCAGACCAAAGTCTGTTTAAGATCAGTGCTTTCTTGACTGTCTGTGTCCCTGTTTCTCAATAGACGGCCGGATGACAGGAATACTCGCATCACGTTTCATATGCGTAAAACACGCAGCGTGCTGCAATGCAACTGTTTCTTTGACTTTAAGATTTAAGTGCAACCTGTGAGCTTTCAACGCGTTCTGTCAAATCGGGAACTACTCTTAACGTTACTTTTAACGTCCTGCTCTGTCATTGGTCGAGGTGCTGCTGACTCTCAAACAAGCACATTAACAAAATTAAATTATTATTGCTGTTAAAACACGAAATGGTGGCGGGTCCGGATTGAATTTCCTCCGGGTCCGTATCCGGACCGGGGTCCGGACTTTGAGAAGTGCTGCTCTAGATTCAGATTCCCTAGGTGCTACTGGGAATAAAAAGCCTTAAATGACCTCTCTAGTACCTTACTAGCTCTACAGGACCTAATGAACAAATAGAGCCCTCATTGACCTAGCTGTGACACCGAGAACTCTTACTAGGGCTCTATGCACACCACGTTGATGTTAACGACCGTGCTTGTGCCATAACTGCCTGGGACCTTTACCAAACAACACTAAATTCATGTTCTACATGTCATTTAACGATGTGCGAATGGCAGTCCTCGAAAGTCGAACTTTTTTATGAACAGGAAGTGGTTAATAACTAAGCAATGCAATGTCTGATCAGGTTAAAATTCATCATGCGTGTTAAGAGTCCATGTCTGAAGGATTTCATAGAGTGAAATACAGTGTCAGTTATAGCGCCACCTAATGCCAGCATGCAATATAGCATTTTCTGCTTTTTTTACTGCTATTTCAGACTGTGTTTAAGGCCTCTAATAGATTTCTGTGCCTCTTTGTCCAGTTTTAAAATTAAAGCTTTCATCCATTATCCAGTCTGTGTCATTGTCAGAAGTGGGATTTGAGCCCACGCCTCCATAGGAGACTGCGACCTGAACGCAGCGCCTTAGACGGTTCGGCCATCCTGAAACAGACCTGAACATTGATGTACCTTTTAGGATCCAAAATAATGCACCAAGCACTGCCAAATATTGATTAGGTTCTAAGTGCATTGTTTGTGCCTTATTGGCATAATTGGCAGCGCGTCAGTCTCATAATCTAAAGGACATGAGTTCAAACCTCACACGAGGCAATTTGATGTTTTTTTTCTGTGCTTTCACATAAAACTCAAACTTCTTCTGTACCTATGGGGATGACCTTCTGCACACAGAGAATAAATTAACTTCATTTAAAAGGCTTTCATAATCATTTTTATTTTTGTCTTCTGCTTGTGGAAATTTCATTTGAAGTACTCTTGATAAACATTAAAATTTAACCCAGGCATCCAGAAGAGACTGTGACCTGAACACAGTGCCTTGGGCAGCTCACCTGTCCTTAAACTCTTCAATCCAAAGACGTACCTTTTAGGTATCAAGTAAAGGTGCAAAGCCCTGGAAGACATGGACTAAGGTGTACCTAGCTCTGTCAACTCTTCTGCTCTATAAAGTAGCTGGTAGGAACCAATTGGAGGCACAATGCCCTGCCGAAAAGCGATTAAGGCTTTAAATTGGTTTTTGGTGCCTCTTGGTCCAGTGTATCCATTTATTTCAAATAACGGTTTCATCCAATTTCTACAATAGGCCATTGTCAGAAATGGTATTCCAACCAGCTCTTGGTCCATAAGACACTATGACCTGAATGCAGCGCCTTGGACCCCTCAGCCATCCGGACACACTACTGATTATTGAGGTACCTTTTAGGAACCAAATAAAGGCACCTGTGCAACTGCTCATTTCTGAGAAATCCATACCTCCAAACAAATAAGGATTACGAAAGAAGGACAAGACACATTAAATCTTTCTATAATCACAAGACTTTAAGGAAGAGAATGGTGTAAATTTTTTGAAGCTGTGATAAAGTTTGAATGATTTATGGCGAGTTAGAAATAGCCTGCGATTGAGATTTTAAACAGAATCCAGCAGAATTTTTGAATGGAGGTGAAAGGAGCAATTATGTGCACTCCTTGTGGTTTAGGCCACCTGGAGTAAAAAAACGTGTGTTTTTTAAAAACGAAAACAGCACCAACTGAAAGAGGACAAAAATCTCTACCATTTAGATAAAAAATTAACCTTTACACACACATTTTATGTTGAGAAAACAGTGCAAGTATAAACAACACTGAGCTTGCTCAAAGTTAGAGTGGGCGATGACATCACCCCTCTAGGGCTCCCATAGGGAATGAAATTTGGGCCGAATTTCGCGATTTTTACGGAAACCGCTGGTCCAATCGGTCCGATGAGATATAGTAACTCGAGTTGGAACAGCTTGGACGACCGTGGAAAGTTTCGTGGCTGTAGCTCGAACGGGCTAGGAGGAGAAGGGTTAAGAATTTTTGTGAGAAGAAAAGAGAAGAAGAACTAGATTTTAAAGTTTGCACGCAAATTTCGATGTTGGCTTGCGTTGGTGCCGTTAATACCTATTTTTTATGTTGTCAATCCTGCAACAATAACATAATCCAAACCCCATGTCTCTATGACATTTCTAAGCTGAGATAGAGATGCGCCATATTAGTTGCCATGGTAACCTGTCTGGTTGCTATGGAGGGGTCAGTGACCTAACATATTGTTTCCCATGTCAATATGAGTCAAATACATCAACCCCCATGTCTCTATGACTTTCCTAAGCTGAGATAGAGATTTGCCATATTGGTTGCTATGGTAACCAGTCTGGTTGCTATGGAGAGGTTGCTGAACTAACATATTGTTCCCCATATCAATACGGGTAAAATACATCAACCCCCATGTCTCTATGATTTTCCTAAGCTGAGATAGAGACATGCCATATTGGTTGCTATGGTAACCAGTCTGGTTGCTATGGAGGTGTCATTAACATAATATAATGTTTCAGCTGTCACTATGGGTGAAGCTTACCAACCCCCAAGTCTCTAGCATTTTCCTAAGCTAAGATAGAGATATGGCAATTTAGTTGCTATGGTAAACAATTTGGTTGCTATGGAGGAGTCAGTGACATCATGTTGTAATCTACTTTCCATTTAGAATAATATAAAGCAACCCCCATGTCTCTACGGTGTTCCGTTTAGAAGATATTTAACATCGAAAGTTATGTCAAAAAGGGGTGTGGCTTATTGATTTTATGTTAAATCACAAGCAATGATTGGCTGGATAAGTGATTTGCTTCCTTAATACTAGTATGACTTTTCAGTGTCAATCAATTACAGAAGCTCTTTCACAATAGGATCTATGGGATTCATGCTCTATTCATTACAATGGGCCATTGAAAGTCTATGAGACACCTTTGACCTACTTATTAGTAATCAGCTGCACCTGGAGTTATCAACTGCCAGATTTTCAAACGCTGGAGTTTCAACTGTCAGATTTTCAAACGATGGCAAATCTCCTGGAGAAAATCCAGTTACCATGCCTCAAACAAACAAAGATTATAGAAGAACCGTAAGACATATCGAAATGATTCTTTCTTTGTCAGAAGCAGAAGACCCTAACGAAGAGAATGCTGTAAATTTTGTGAAGGTGTGATTAGAAATAAAAAATTATGGCGAGCTAGAAAAAGCCTTCATTTGATTCTGTGCAACTGCTCATTTCTGAGAAATCCATACCTCCAAACAAATAAGGATTACGAAAGAAGGACAAGACACATTAAAATATTTCCTTTACTGTTAGAATCACAAGATTTTAAGGAAGAGAATGGTGTAAATTTTGTGAAGCTGTGATAAAGTTTGAATGATTTATGGCGAGTTACAAATAGCCTGCGATTGAGATTTTAAACATTCTCTGGCAGAATTTTTGAATGGAGGTGAATGGAGCAATTAAGTTCACTCCTTGTGGTTCAGGCCACCTGGAGTAAAAACTGTGTGTTTTTTAAAAATGAAAACAGCACCAACTGAAAGAGGACAAAAATCTTTACCATTTAGATATAAAATGTCTGTGTAAAGGTTAATTTTTAGTTGAGAAAACATTGCAAGTAGCAACAAGACTGAGCTTGCTCAAAGTTAGAGTGAGCGATGACATCACCACTCTAGGGCTCCCATAGGGAATGACTTGGGCGATTTTTGGGCCGAAATTCGCGATTTTTACGGAAACCGCTGATCAAATCGGTCCGAAGAGATATAGCAACAAACTACATAACAGCTGTGAGGTGTGTTGAAAGTTTCGTGGCTGTAGCTCGAACGGGCTAGGAGGAGTTGGCGGTAATTTTTTTTGTTCTAAGAAGAAGAAGAAGAACTAGATTTTAAAGTTTGCACGCAAACTTCGATGTTGGCTTGCGTTGGTGCCGTTAATACCTTTTTTTAAATGTTGTCAATTCCGCAACAATAACATAATCCAACCCCCATGTCTCTATCATTCTCATAAGCTGAGATAGGTACATGCAAAATTGGTTGCTATGGTAACCAGTCTGGTTGCAATGGAGGGGTAAGTGACGTAACATATTGTTCCTCATGTCAACACGAGTAAAATACACCAACCCCCATGTCTCTAAGACTTTCGTAAGCTGAGATAGAGCTGCGCCATATTGGTTGCTATGGTAACAGTGTGGTTGCTATGGAGGGGTCGCTGACCTAATATATTGTTCCCATATGAATACGAGTAAATTACAGCAACCCCCATGTCTCTATGATTTTCCTGAGCTGAGATAGGTACATGCAAAATCGGTTGCTATGGTAACCAGTCTGGTTGCTATGGAGGGGTCAGTGACCTAACACATTGTTCCCCATGTCAATACATCAACCCCCATGTCTCTATGACTTTCCAAAGCTGAGATAGAGCTGCGCCATATTGGTTGCTATGGTCACCAGTTTGGTTGCTATGTAGGGGTCGCTGACCTAATATATTGCTCCCCATATCTATACGGGTAAAATACAGCAACCCCCATCTCTATGATTTTCCTAAGCTGAGATAGAGACATGCCATATTGGTTGCTATGGTAACCAGTCTGATTGCTATGGAGGGGTCAGTGACCTAACACATTGTTTCCCATGTCAATACATCAACCCCATGTCTCTATGACTTTCCAAAGCTGAGATAGAGCTGCGCCATATTGGTTGCTATGGTAACCAGTCTGGTTGCTATGGAGAGGTCGCTGACCTAACATATTGTTCCCCATATCAATACGGGTAAAATACGGCAACCCCCATCTCTCTATGATTTTCCTAAGCTGAGAGAGAGTCATGCCATATTGGTTGCTATGGTAATCAGTCTGGTTGCTATGGAGGAGTCATTGACATGATATAATGTTTCAGCTGTCAGTATGGGTGAAGCTTACCAACCCCCAAGTCTCTAGCATTTTCCTAACCCAAGATAGAGATATGCTAATTTAGTTGCTATGGTAAACAATTAGGTTGCTATGGAGGAGTCAGTGACATCATGTTGTAATCTACTTTTCATTTAGAATAATATAAAGCAACCCCCATGTCTCTACTGTGTTCCGTTTAGAAGATATTTGACATTGAAAGTTATGTCAAAAAGTGGGTGTGGCTTAATTAATTTATGTTAATTCACAAGCAATGATGGGCTGGATAAGTAATTTGCTTCCTTAATGCTTGTATGACTTTCCAGTGTCAATCAATTACAGAAGCTCTTTTACATTAGGATCTATGGGGTTCATGCTCCATTCATTTCAATGGGCCATTGAAAGTCAATGAGACACCTTTGACCTACTTATTTGAAATCAGCTTGCACCTGGAGTTATCAACTGCCAGATTTTCAAACGAGTCAGCTGACTCAACTGTCAGATTTTCAAACGATGGCAAATCTGCTGGAGAAAATCCGATTTCCATGCCTCAAACAAATAAAGATTATAGAAGAACCGTAAGACATATCTAAATGATTCTTTCTTTGTAAGAAGCAGAAGACCCTAACGAAGAGAATGCTGTAATTTTTGTGAAGGTGTGATTAGAAATAAAAAAAATTATGGCGAGCTACAAATAGCCTTCATTTGATTCTGTGTAACTGCTCATTTTAGAGAAATCCATACCCTCAAACAAATAAACATTACGAAAGAATGAACAGAGGTATGGAAATATTTCTTTTACTGTTAGAATCCCAAGATTTTAAGGAAGAGAATGGTGTAAATTTTGCGAAGCTGTGATAAAGTGTGAATGATTTATGGCGAGTTAAA